CTGTTTTGTCTCGACACTCGTCTAACGTGACACCGATCAAGGGGCGGAGGGCGACCGTGGATATCTCTCCGGCCCCTTATTGTGCCCTATCCAGCCGTTTTCCGACCTCATTCCTGTACGAATGGTACCAGAGGGGGCTTCGAATTCAAACCATGCGCAAATCTCCGAACCACTTTTTTGTGAACAGTGCCTTTAAATAGTATTAAACGGCAAGTAGGTGCAAACCTACAATAACGGTAACATTGCTTGAACCTTTCAGCTCCAGTGCTAGCCTACGTTTCGGTTCTGTTTATACTGTGCCAATGGTTTAGTCAACTGTTTGCACTGTTGATCCTTTCGGCTCTTCATTTCATTGCAGTCTTTTCTCCAGCAAAATTTCGTTTAATTTTACCGCGGCATATGTGGATCACCAACTTTTTCATTATCGTGATCGGTATCCTGTTGACAGGTAATTATTCCCGATTCCTATGGTTATACCTTAGCCAAGAGCGTTTGCGTTCAATTGTGAATTGCATTTCAGCGCCTACGTTCACGCCGTACTGTGGCTACGCTTATATGACTGAAAGTCATGTGTGGGCTGACGACAAAAGCAAACCGTACACGTACATATGGCGGCGCTGTAACTTATCGTTACAGGTGTGCAGAATTTGTTTTTGGTGAATAGCGCTGTAATCTGGAACCGGAAAACTGATGAGATTCTCTTCACTGTATTGCTCAGTATTTGACTTTGTTTCCTTGCATTCTTAATTTGATATTTTCAGGCAGTCTGCGTGATTGTACTGGCTTGTGTCGACGCAGTCATCATTTGGAAAATTCGTACGCTTCGAATTGTTGGAACAAAAAGAAATGACATTGTCCCATCTTCTAGGATTACAGTTCCGCTGGAAACGGTAATGGATCAGATTAGTTTTATAGCCAGTGACGTGTTTGAAGTGTTCCAAGCACCTAATCTCTTTCAGGCGCCTGCCGTCGTAGTTCTTATCCTGAGTTGTCCCATTTTTTAACATTCCCTAACGCTGTATCATGGTATGCCAAGCACATAAGACAAAGCTGTGGAACGTTTGCTTGGGAGCAGTTGAACTTCCTCAGAATGGATTTGTCTATTGCGGTGTTGTTAGGATGATGTAAAATTGAGGGGCACTTCTTTCTGCTTCCTCTCCACGAAAAATTTACTTTGATTGCCACCATGCCTGATAACAGAAACCACACAGCGTTTCATAGATCCATTGGTTCTGGAGACACTTTGATCAAGAGCAATAGGTTAGTCAGTAAGGAGGACTGGAACCTAATTCCAGGCATGGTTGTTGCCTAATCCTGTTTCACGAGTTTAGTATAAGCTGTTCTACAGGAAAGACAACTTGAAATACCAGCGTTATCGAGTAAGGGGACCACTACAAAATCTGCTGCTCGGAGTTGGCTCAAAAATTCCGTTGTGGTGATGTGAGCCCCGAAGTTAAGCAATACCTCACGAATGGAGCGATCGACTGGTAAATCCTTCTGGCGGACATGAACAGCTAAGACGCCTAGATTGCCAGGAATCTAGACGTTAGCCTCTCAACAGTCCGGCACTTCAAAAAGTAGTATTATCAAGAACCGAAAGGTTATTGGTTGCCGCACATTAACACTCGGCCCCAAGAAACATTTTTGAGGACGCTCCCTTCTTCGTTATGTGAGAAGTACGATCTGTTGCTACAGTGCAATATCAGTGTCAACAATGGGTCGGTTGTGAAAGCATAGAACATCTTGTTTATTGGGTGGATAAGGATTAGACCCCAAGTAATATTACCCATACGGAAAATGCCGTCGAATGAGTTGATGTGATATGATATCGATCTGCATTCCGCCATAGCTTGACTACTGCGAGGACCAGAGACTTCGATTTCCTCAACCAGAGTTTCTGTACGAAAGGTCGAGAGACAGTACTCGATAATACATTTCAAAGGCGAAGCTACCGAATTTATATAAGTTATTTACTCTACCTCGCCCAAAGTGATCTTCAAACCATTGGCCAGCGATTACCATTTTTCAAACGTGAATTCAAACACAGCATAAAAGGTAGGATCCAGTTGGACTGCAAGCGACAGTGGATGGTGGAAACAACCACCAAAGTTGTATCCTATTAAAAAAAAGGTATGGACTACAGTGATTCTCATCAAATCGGCGCAGATTGAGGGAGTAGGCATGAGGACATTCACGGCAGCGTGGAGTACTTTACATTTGAGTATACTCCGTTTCTATGGTCTTCCTATTTGCAGAGAAGTAATCGTGAAAAACGTATCAATCGAGAGAAACGACTAGCCTTGAATTTCGTATTTCTGAGCGCCTGCTTCCTGTTCCAGTCTACTGTCTACAATCTTCCATTCCGGTTAGTTTCATTATTTTTCTAAAGCTCACTTCAATGATATGGAAGGGAAAATATGGTCGACCAACAGTACTTGAGCATCTTACCATGGCTGCTCCTCATTGTAAAGAAGGAGATACATACGTGAGAGAATCGTATCATACCTGCGAAACCACACCCGGCTCTTTCACGGTAACAAAGTGTTGTTGACCGAAATTCTCTTGTTGTTATTCTGACCTCATGGGAAGGCAATGTCTGCGTGTTATGCCGATATCGCATAAGAACCTAGTCCAACGCCTACCACAAACTTCTATCATGACTAAAAAGTGCAAATAAGCCTTGAAATACTACAGGTGGTAATGTTATGTCAGAGTTAGTGTAAGTTGTGGAGTTTAGTGTAGTGTTAGTGTGTTATGTCTAGTGTAACAGCGCTGCCATGGCACATCATCTGAGGAAATCCAGTGTGTTAGTAGAGTAGCACCATTGATTTAGTGTGGCCGTCCGGGCGAAGAGAAAGGAACGAAAACGCCCAGTCACCTCTCTCGCAACTGACAACGCCCATGTAACCCTTTTGAAAATGTACTTCGCAACCACAAGCAGAGCCACTTTCTTAGTACGGACCTTCGCACAAAGAACAGTGCAAAAATGGGATTTCAAGCGGAAAAGACTAATCACTCAGGAGCAGAACTTCTGATGAATGTTTGGAAATGATTGGTCTCAACTAGTCGAAGTCAGACATCTTCTCCCCGAAAACTGCGCTGCGCTCACCGCATCCGCCGCGTATGGCTGCCTTCGTGTCCCGCGATCTTGCCTACGAGCGTCCTTGCCCCTTCCTTACAATTGAATTACGGGCGATACCGCTGGTCGCGCTCGCTCGCTCGCGCGCTCACGAGCCGGATCGCAGACCATGAAAGCAGCTTATAGCCAAAAGGCGATGGAAGGTTGGAGCGCGCAATGTGTGAGTTAAGGAGTCCTTTAATTATTCGAATTTGCTGGCCGCTCCCCTCATTTCCATTGTGGTCTTGAGCGTCAATAATGTATGTAGAAGGAGTCATTTCAAACAGTCAAGTCTAATAAACAAAAAAA